AGAGCGGTGACGCCGTGATTCTCCCCTTCCTTGGGTCTCCTCTCTTTTCTTTATTCATTATATTCATTTATTGAAATATCATCACCCCACCCCCTGTATATGAATTTATCTATATAATCAAAACTATGGTTATTCATCTTGTATTTATCCCTAAATTTATCAATGTAATTTTTTGTCATCTATTTTTTAAAATGTCTCAAAAAATTGTATAGTGGCAACAAATTTTGCATTGCTATAAAAGTTTGATTTTGTAAGAATCATAGGTTTAGCTGCTATTTCTATACTTGAAACTATATTTGGACTTTGCTTAATATGAAACCTAAGCTTGTTATTTACAGATTTATGCAAAATCCTATATAGTTCTAAATATGGTCCGAACAAGGTTTATCCTTACATCTCCTAAAACTTTAGTGGTCTAAACATTCTCGTGCAGTTTTAATGTGGCATTGCATTTTTTCTTCTTTTTTTTGCCAGAGATTTTTTTATTTATCCATAATCCTAAACACTAAACATTAATCTTAAATTTAAAATTCTAAATACTCAATTATAATCTCTAAAACTTAAATCCTAAATCATACATTTATTTTAAATCTTAAGTTTTAAATATTACGACTTGAAGTTTTGTGATTTAAGTTTTGGGGTTTAGTTTCACATTTTAGGTTGTAAGTTTAGGGTTTGAAATCACAGATAGATTAGGAGAACATTTAGGTTAGAAAAATTAGATTAAAATCGGTTATGAGTTTATCCTTAATATTTTTTCATTCTGATTTTTGTTACTTGATGATATAATTTACAACATTATCCATAAAAATATGTATTTGATCTGTCTTTACGACCGAATAATTCGGTTGAGCCTCGTTTCCCACAATCTTTGCCGTGACATATGTCTTATCGATCCCATGCCTTATTATTATATTTAATCCGTTTTTACAATTTCGGACGGTCGAACCAAATAAATAACGTCACATGAGTTATATTTATTGCTAATGTATTCGACGAATATTCTCATTATGGGTATATCACTGCCGTAATTATTTCCATTTTATATATAAAGTAACAAAGGAAAGCTGTATAATAGCAAGTTTTATTGTTTTTAATTAATATGTAAATAAACCTGCAATGAGACATGGCCTAATGAAGGGTCAAAGGAAAAGGCTGAGCTGCCAATGCACCATTTTAGAAATTAATCCACCTCTCCCAATCACGTCCTAACCGAATTATTCTCTCCTAATTATTTTACCATTTTATGTTCATTATTATTCTGCAATTTTTTTTTTATAAAATATTCTGCAATCTTTTATATACCAAAACATAAATGTAACGTGCAAAAGATCAAAATGATAATCCCATTAAAAAAAACTTATATAAATATATGCGAGACGATTTTTCGGTAACGCGAAATGAAACACACACAAATTGAACATTTTGACAATTAATTGTCTAATTTAAGAAATTTATAATATTTTTACTTATACATAATTTTTAAATATTTGAATTTATTTTGATATAGAACATCTCCATAATTTGATTAGGAATATAAATATTATTATTGGGTAAAGATGGTACGATCAAATCTCACAAATATATATATATATATATATATATATATATATATGTAGGGATTTTGGATCGGGACAATGCATGTATACTTGATGTATGAAACCGATATTGACATAAACAAGAAAAAATGTTTTGGTCAAATTGGTTTGCATGTCATATCGGACCGCAATTATCACGAATATCAAGACAAATCAAGAATTATGTTTTGGATAATATCAAAGCATAACTCTTGTCTTAAGAAAAGGAAAACATGATTAATGTATTTTTTAATAATAGAAGACGGTACCAATACAAATATTATCAAATGGATTATTTACACTAATTATATAATATAATCTACAGTTGGATGGATACAATTATACATCATTTTATCGGTTAGATATCTAATTATTCTGAACAATTTTGAGATGTTGGATCGTTATATATATATATATATATATATATATATATATATATATGTATATGTGTGTGTGTTGTCGATGAAAAGCTCGTGGCTTCTTATGATTTGGGTTTTATTTATTTAAGTCCACAATGCGATATAATGATTCGTAACAAAACAAATATGTAAAATTTATCATTAATCATTATACAATACACTAATCTGGCCGGCGCTCCTTAACACAATTATATCTTGTTAGAATTCTAACCAGAAAATAAATTAAAACAAAAAAAAAAGAAATCACATTAGCCTATGCTGTCCTGAAATTTATCCCATAAATGATCACGCGGTATTTAAAAAACATAATTTAATCGAGATTCAATATTCCGGGAAAGAAAGAGAAAAGAGACAGTATTCAGAAATTTGTCTTGCGATTCTGTCCTGAAAATGACAAAACATACGTCCACCCACCTCAAGTTCATGCTGAAATATATTGAAAAAAAAAACAGATAAATAAAAATGCCATCGTTTTCATTTTGGATGACGTGGAATTAATTATTGATATATTATATTTGGGAACAGTGTACCAGATTGTATTTTTCTACCAAACTACCACCACCCGGAAATGCCTATGCTCTGCTCATATTACATTTTTAATTTATAATTTTATAGCGATGGACCACTTCATATTCAAAAATTACGTAAGTTTTGATTGTTTCGAGTTTTTCCAGTTTTTAGTTTTTAAAAACAAAAAATATTCAACAAAAATTTTATTTTTCTACCTTTTCTGAAAATCGTTTATTTCAGCGGCTGAAGACGGACAAGGCATTACACTTGGCAATAAAAAACTTCAAGTTCGAGGGAGCTTGTCGGAGGAGCAGGCGGGGCAGTTGTAATGGTCGATGCGATCAGCCATGGAGGGTGTGACCTTTACGCAATTGCCATGGAACCATCTCTCACACGCTTCGCAGAATATCCAGAACTCATCCGTTGCATAGTTGTGCCCGCATGCCCCGCATATCGCCCCCTCCTCCTCCTCTCTGCCATCTTCTTCGTTAGGATATGAAGCCATCTTTGAAGCCCTTTTCTGGGATTCCGACTGTCGAGACTGTTCAACATTACATCAAGGATTCAAGACTAAGCCCCGAAAGAGGTTCAGAATAGGGACAAGTGAAAGAGAGGGGACATAACATAATACCTTGCTTCCGGATTTGCTTTTGTTGCCATTGTGGTTAGCAGGTCGATCCTTAGATTGCTTCACCTTTCCACTCACAATATCGAAAATGGTCGGGAGATCATTTATCATCTGGAAGAGCCTCTTCCTGTAAGGATGCAAAGTCGCTTAGTGGGATAACATAACACCAATTTCACTTCTGTCCCATGGAAGTTACAAGAGAGACAAGCAGCAATCACCTCTAAAGTTCACTAACCAAAGGGTTTTCATTTTTTGTTTTTGTTTTCAAGATGTGCTTATATATACATATATGTATCCACATGCATGACATGAGCACGTACACAATATAGACCTATAAATATACAAAACTACATGGAAGATTGATGAATCTTGACCTCGTTTGAATTTCCTAGTCTTTGAACAATTACGCTTGAAAGGATGCTAGGATAGTGCAGCCAGGTGTTACAAAATAAATCCTTGCCTAAGAGGTATCCCCATGGCATCATCACATACAATTTCCGATATTCAAAGCGAGGAACTAAGAAGGAAAGTAACCTCACCTCTCATCCTTACCAAACCCAAAACGTGCGCCAAAGTAAAATGCAACGGAGAGCAGCCATGAATCACTGTGGACAGCAACCAGAGAAACCCACTCCTGTCCGGCCATTCCATCCCTCGCAAAATTGATGCCTAGAGATGGCTCAGGAAGCTCGGGAGGAACCTCCTCAGCAGGAAGGCTAAGCTTCCATGTCCCATTAGGGAATCCATACAGGCACAAGTTCTCCTTCTCTGAAGACAGCAAAAAGTAAATGCCTTTAGAAGGAGAACCCATATAGAGGACAACAACAACATAGGACACAACTTCACCTTATCTATACACAAAACCGAAACTCACAAATAACCAAACAACGAAACGCTAAAACAACATGCTAGGGCAACCAAAAGCATCCAGATTGGCAGATTGGAAAACTGACAAGAAGTAAAAGGTATGCCAATCGATGACAGAAGACGAAAGACCATCAAACAAACTTGACAATACATGGATGTTCCCTTTAATAGTCTGGAAAGGGGCTGTTCCGACACTGAAGCCAGGTAATCTAATCTTGGGGTAAACAATTCAAACTACGAACAGCACTAGAGACTCCAACAAGAACACAGAAGCCAGAACGCAAGAAATATACATAATGGTCGCGAATTAACTCACCAGGGTCGCATTCAGTGCAGAACTTCTCCAAATCTGCAAAACCCAATTCGAAGAAGATATCAAAACAATTAAATTCGTAGAAGAACCAAGATAAACGTACACAGGAACCTACGAACTTGCAAATCCGCACAAGCTATTCTCGAGATGGTTGCTACTATTCAGAGGAACAAAAAACCCGCAATCGGACAAAACCAAAAACAGCAGAGAGAGAAAACCCAGCTTACCGGTCGTGAGAGCTTTGAGCAGCCCAGCCCGTCGACCCCTGAAGTCGCTAAAGACCTCTTCGACAGTACGAGCTATGGGGTGATGGATTCCCTCCATGTTTTCTCGCCACGACTTCAAGAACGCACACGCCGGAGAATAAATCACCCTAACGACGCCGATGGTGGTGGGTATTCCGGCGATTCACCGAATCGAATTCCAGAATAATGCAGCGAAGTTTCGAGATTCAAAGAAGAAATCGCTCGCTTGGATTGTGAATTTGGGACCTCAGTGGGGATTTTTATAGGGGAGCAAGAACTGAAAACTTGATATGGAAAGGAAAAGGAAACGATGAAAAGATAAAATTTGGGGTTAACAAAACGTGTATGTTATGTTGATAATATAGTACACTACAAAGCTTATATCTTGTTGGTAAAATTTAAACACAATTTATTTTTCCATTCTTCTATGCGTCGGTTTCGGATTTTTGTTTTTTTCGAATAAATGCATTTATAATTAACTGAATTTTTTATATATTGAATTTTAATAATATTATTACAATTATATGCGAGTTCCCTTTTTTCGATTTATGGGCCAATTCGATTGTATGAATAGCCCGTTATTGGCCCACTATGTTTTAACAATGGGCTTTTTGCCGTTTGCTTTTTTTTTTTGTTTCTTCGTCTTCTGTAACACCGAGATTCGCAGAAGAAAGGGGGTTTAGGGTTTATAGGGTTTGATTTCTTACGTTGCGTGTTCTACCAATCTTGCTCCACTCAAGCTTAAATTCTCGAGGTTCTTTGCAGATTTTGAAATCGTACTTGCAAAATCTCTTGTATCCTCTTATATAATTTTATAATAAACTTATATCGGTATCGTCATCGTTTCCCTTATCTCTCTCTCCCTGTTTCATTTCCTTCTCGTTTCAAGGATTCAGCTTTCTTATCCTCTTTCTCCGTTTTCTCGTTCCCTAATTAATTTCTGAGGGATTCTGAACCCTCACTTCCCCAAACCCGAATTGGAAAGCAATCATTTCTTGGGTATTCCTCACAATCTGTGTACCTGGTCCCTCTCCGTCTCTTTCTGTTCTTCGTTTTTTCTCCTTCAGTTTGGTCCGAAACTCAAAGAAAGTTCCTTTTTTCTTTGCATCTGCAGAGAAGGGGAGCTTTTGTCGGTATGGGCTTCCAAGAACCGAGTCTCTTACGCTATTTTGTGTATGTATAGGCTGTAGTGGAATCTTTGATCTGCAATGTCTCAGTCAATGCTTCGAGCTCTCACAGCTCGGAAGAAGCAATTTAGTATCGGGTTCTATTTTAGATGTAATTTTTCTCCGCAACTTCATTCCCAAGAGCATGCTCTTGTTCCCAATCGCTGCAAGTGTTCACCCTCAGGTACCATTCTGTTTCTTACAAGCATGCAGACATGAATTGATGATGTTTAACGAGTTAGCTCGTCCCTTGGTTGTGACCCGTGTCTCTCACAGGATGTTCTTATAGGCATGGAATTCTTCGTAACGGTTATAGGGTTTCTGGTGATTTGATTCCGGACCTGAATCGTACTCGCATAATTCGATCTGCAAAAGGGTTTTGCTCAAATTCTGTAAATGAGGTAGTGGACTCAAATTGTGGATCCAGTGAAAAATTGATCGGTAATGAGGATATTCCCCGTGGGAGCTCCGATGTTGAACTTGTCGATAAGAAGCCTAAGGTTGTTTACAAGAAACCAATTGACTTCACCAAAATCGATGCGGATCTGCTACCCACCGTCATGATCATTGGCCGGCCAAATGTCGGAAAGTCTGCCCTATTTAACCGGTTGGCTTCTTCTCTGTGTTCTCGAGATAAGTTTCATCTTTTGCACATGATTGCATAATGATAACGAGGTCAATTGAATTGTTGTTTTTCAGGTTGATTCGGAGAAGGGAGGCTCTTGTGTACAACACCCCGGATGATCATGTCACAAGGGATATAAGAGAAGGGATTGCGAAACTAGGTGATTTAAGGTTCAAGGTGTTGGATTCTGCTGGTATAGAGACAGAAGTATCGTCGGGCACTATTCTTGGTAGGACCACAGCCATGACAGCTAATGTGCTTGCAAGGACTCAGTTCGCGATTCTTATTGTTGATGTTAGGTGAGGCTTTACCGAAATCGAGAACTTCTTATCTGATTCAAATGTTTCCGGATTTTCACTTGTTTTATTCGTGTTTCTTAGAGCTGGGTTGCATCCATTGGATCTGGAGGTTGGGAAATGGATGCGGAGACATGCCCCGGAAATTAAGCCTATAATCGTTATGAATAAATCCGAATCACTTGATGCATCACTTGCTGAAGTTGCTTCTGAGGCCCTTGTTCTTGGATTTGGAGAGCCTATTGCCATATCCGCCGAGACTGGACTCGGTATGACCGCACTTTATGAGGTCCTCCGCCCACCGCTAGAGGATTACATGGTCAAAGTTTTAAACGGTAAGAAACCCTTCCTTCTATGATGGATGATTTTCATTCTCCAACTCGATTTCATTTGTTATACCAAGAGAATTTTCTCCGTCTTTCCTAAACCGTGTTGTCTTATCTTAGATAGATGTGTTCAAGATGATACCCAGAGTGATGAGAATCTCTCTGGTGATGCCGATGAGTCCAAGTTGCCATTGCAGTTAGCTATTGTAGGGAAGCCAAATGTAGGGAGCCGATGGTGGTGGGTATTCCGGCGATTCACCGAATCGAATTCCAGAATAATGCAGCGAAGTTTCGAGATTCAAAGAAGAAATCGCCAAGAAGAGCGTGTATTGGTGGGGCCTGAAGCTGGTCTGACTAGAGATGCTGTGAGAGTTGAGTTCGAATATCAGGACAGGACTATATATCTGGTATGTTGTCTTATCGTTATTCTTTTCTTGCCTGGGTTAGGTTAGGAGCTTTTCATGATTATTTCCCCGGTTATTAGACTCTTTCTCTATCACCAGAAGAATCGGGCTAAAACTCTCGACCTTCTCTTCTCTAGATATTCAAGAATCTAAAACTATTTTGTTTGATGTTAGGTTGATACCGCAGGCTGGTTGGAGAGAACAGAGAGAGACAAAGGACCCTCATCACTTAGTATCATGCAATCAAGAAGGAATCTGATGCGGGCACATATAGTTGCTCTGGTTCTTGATGCTGAAGAGGTCTGGATATAAGTAACACATACACACCTACATTCTTGTATTGTTCGCAATTCCGGAAAGAGATATATATAAAGGCTGATCAAATGTTAGTATTCACGATCTCTAGATTGCAAAAGCCAGGTGCAGCATGTCACACTCTGAAGTGGTAATAGCGAGACGGGCAGTGGAAGAAGGACGTGGTCTGGTTGTCATCGTTAACAAAATGGACCGTCTCAGAGGAAGACACAACACTGAGATATACAAGAAGGTGAAGGAAGCTGTTCCCCAAGAAATTCAGACCGTTATTCCTCAGGTAGGTTTGATCCGTTTCAACTGATCCTTCCTCGTGCCTCATGCCAAGCGATGTTCCTAAACATGAGAAATATATACATATAATATTTCCTGTGTAGATAACGGGAATACCAGTCGTGTTTATATCTGCCTTAGAAGGAAGAGGTCGGGTGACAGTCATGCGCCAAGTCATTGACACGTACGAGAAATGGTGTTCGAGGCTTTCCACAGGCCGTCTCAATCGCTGGATTCGCAAGGTCTGGCATGAATTACATCTCATTCTAATAATATAAGGTTATGGATCATGGAGTCGATGTGAAGCCATAACTGAGAATTGCATTCTTGAATGAACATCATTCGCTTCCAACAAAAAAAGGGTGATCGATATTTCCTACTTTCTTTTTTTGGTTTCAGGTTATGAGTAGGCATTCGTGGAAAGACTCGGCCGCTCAGCCAAAGATCAAGTACTTCACTCAGGTGAAAGCTCGGCCACCGACTTTCGTGGCGTTTGTGAGCGGTAAGGCGCAGTTGTTGGATACCGACATCAGGTTCTTGACCAAGTCTTTGAAGGAAGACTTCGACTTAGGCGGCAT